GCAGGTATTTTATGAAATGAAAGTTGTATAAATAAATCATGATTTGAAAAATAAAGTATTGAATACTACTATACTTTTAGTCAAAAGTGCGCTACTTCAGTTAGAATATAAAAGAAATCCTTTGGAAAAACACTCTTTTCTTTTGCAGCTTTTTAAAGAAGATATCTGGACATTCCGTAAAATTGTTAATAATGATAAACTGGTAAAACATTATTCTAATTCTATTTATACCAGTTTTTTTTGTATTTATTTTTACTTGGAAAGTTGAGATTGAAAAAACTTTGTATTGTTAGGATGATCATCTTATCTATGTTTCAGAATTTCATCACGTTCGTTCAAGTGATCTATCAAGATTGGATAAACTGGAACAACGAGTCACAGACTCAATCATTGATGATCTGTTGTCACCACATATTGCAGTAATCAAAAATTACCAAGATTTTGCCGACAAGTTCATTGTAAAACTCCATAGCCACTTGAAAACATCAGGAAGTAATATTAGGAATGCTTTGCCAATCACTGTTGATCTTAACAATATTGATGAACTGGATAAGGTCATCAAATCGTTGATTGGATTGTATCCTAAGCTACATATTCTATATATTGATAGAAATGTGGGTATTATTTTAATTGCAAGATATTTTTTTTTTATAAAAGTTTAAGTTTTATTAATTTATTTTTTTTATCTTTAGGATTCAATTATAACGATTCTTAGTTCAGATAAAAGTACTTCTGTAGATGTTCTTGAATTTTTTGAAAAATGTTATTCTGATACAAATGTAAAGACATTGGAGACATTGATCAGGACAATAAAGGTTTGTATAACACAGTTTGAGGAAGTTGTTAATTGATTTTACATTAATTGCCATTCATTTTTGTTCTTTTTTTCATTTGATAGGATGGTTCATATCATCCCTATGGTGGTGGCTATCAACGTGGATCAAGTTTAAAAGAAGTTATAGAACTTATTGAAACTGTTTCTGACAAACCATTCTCCTTACCAGCTGTTTCTGATGATAACTCAGGTTATAAAGAACTAATAGAATTA